ACAAGTTAGCATATATCTAAAAGTAAAGGCGATAGTGTCTCTCAAGTAGAATACTCTAGAATTATTCAAAGTTTGATGTACTAGATGAGTTGTACAAGACCAGACATAGTATATGCAGTTAGTAAACTATGTAAATACACGACTAATCCGAGAACTAACCACTAGAAAGGAATACAAATAGTACTAAGATACTAACTATAAACTATATTATACCAGATATCCAACAGTCATTGAAAGATATAGTGATGTAAACTAGATATCTAATATAAAAGATTCAAAATCCACTAGTGGTTTCTGTTCATATTGGGAAGTATATCAATATCGTGGAAATCCTCTAGAACAAATAGTTATAGTCGGATCTACCATAAAATTTGAGTTTAGAGCTTTAGATAAATGTGGTGAAGAGGCTAAGTGGCTACAAAACTTTTTAGAAGATATTTTGAGATGGTCAAATCTCGTGCCAACAATTTGCATACATTATGATAGTCAAACACTAATTGAAGGGCACAGGGAAAAATGTACAATGGTAAGTCCAGACATATACGTTGTAGAATAATACCATAAGACAATTACTCTCAACTGAAGTTATCTCTGTTGACTATGTAAAGTCAAAGATAACATTGATGATCCGCTAACCAAATGATTAAGTAGAGAGTTAATTGGAAAGTTGTTGAAAGAAATGAGACTTAAGCCCTTGAACAAATGAGTTAATATGAAGAATAGCTAACATAGTTGATTGGAGATCCCAAAATGTAGTTTTAAAATGACAACCTGATTTTAAAGAGTTAATTGTATCACCATGTGAAATGTTATCTCTTATCCATTCTTATGATGTAACAGTAATGCCTATAAGGATGAAGGAAAAACAATAGGTTTTTAATGATTGTTATACGTAGGAAATCAAGCTAAGTAATGTAGGTTGCTTGTAATAAGAAATCATTTATGTAAGAGAGAGAGAAGTAGGACCTCTTTTAATGAAATTGTATGGGGCTCAATTCTCACAAAATCCCATAGAACCAGGAGTATGTTTATGGCCATAAACTAACATAACAATGAAATATAATTGTGTTAGGAAGAAGCCTGTATGAAGTATATCATCATTTACATAAAAAGGTAGAAAAGTTCAAACACATCATATCAACTGATTAGCTAGTAAAGTAAATATACTTTCACAAAGAAATATTCAAACGTAATACCCACTTATTCTATGCAGGTTTCAATCGTTGAAGTATATCATCAAGTCTTTTTGTCTCCCATTTCTTTGCCTTTCTCAATTGTCATTCATGTGAGGGAATGTTAGGAAAAAAAAATGCTAGTGGGCTAATTTTGAATGGGACTTGTTTGTTCATTTTGAAAAATCAAAGTTGATTTGTGTTCTCTTCCATAAGAACATCGAAATCATGTATTTACTTATCAAAATTGATGGTTGGGTGAATGGGAAATTGAAGATCAAAGTTGATGAATTGAAAAAGTATTGTAGAAAAAACTATTTTAAGTTTATCCCACATATGAAAATGAGAAAAGTAAAGATCACTTTATATATAGATATATTTTAAAAGGGTATAATCGTGTGTAGTTTAGAGACTCTCTCCACAAACGCGATCGGAGGTGCAAATCACGAATCGAATTGTACATTGAACCTTGAACTTATATACAAGCATGACCTGCGTACACAAATATTAGACTGAAGGAGCCAAAAATTAGTCCCTTTCGAGTGTCTACGTTTTACTTTTATTTCCTAATTTTTGCTTTCTCCAACTATCATTCTAACTTTTGAAACTGCTGAAACTCCAGTTGTTATTGTCATTATAATATGAAGTTAATGGCATGTTTACTGATGGATTAAACTCACCATTCATGGTGGGCCAATTCTATAACTGAGCTATTTTTTTTCATTATTCTACATAAAAAATTGTCATACTCTGTTTGCATACTGCATAATTTACAATTCCTAACACAAATTCTGTTTGTCTAAATTGAAACTCAAATGCTCATATTCTACTGATTTCTCCATTGTATCTTAAGAGATAGACATTCAAACGAAACCTCTAGTACATATGGTGAGTTGGCGAATCTGTTTTAAGAAAACTATATTTACGTAGGTTTCAATTTACACATTTACTCTCCTTTCAGCAATTTTCAATTCCCTTTTTTTTGTTCCTTTTAGATTAATAAAATATTATATTCTGCAATCATTTTATGTAACAATAATATAGAACCAATTATCCAATTAGAGCACGAATCTGTTAATCATCAGTGGCGATTGAGCCCATAACATCATCGACGTCGTGACAGCTATCTTCTTGCTAAAATTATAGAGGATATTATGAAATAAACAAAATCCCACTTGCCCTTAATAAGCTGATTTTTAGTATGTATTTTGGATATATTTATTATATTTCTTGATTTTTAAAACGAATTCTAGAATTATTTGCATATTTTGTTAATTGGAAAAGTAAACAAAGTAATCCACTAAATAAGTGACAGCCGACCGGAGAAGGAATGACAAATAAATTCGTTAAATTAAATATCCGTGAAGCCCATCATCATATGGAGAGGGAAGTACCCGCTTAATCTGATAAATGGGGAAGGAGCGAGTGTAAGGTGAGGGTCGTTGCCTCGAGGTGGGTACGGGATCGAGTAAGAAAAATATAGTCCCCTCCCCACCATCTATCCCGTCTAAAGTTTATTTCAAATTTAAGTTTTTTATCAAATAAAATGAAAAGAATTATCATCCAATTTGGAGGGAATATGAATTGTTCTTAATATATTTAAAAAAAAAATTAGGTAAACAATTTTTACCAACTAAAGATATAAAAAAATGAAAACAAAACTAAATAAATAAAAGTTGTCCCAACTTGAATCCGCCCTGCCCCGTCTTAATAAAGTATGAAGTTGGGGTAGGATAACAAAAATACACAGCAGAATGAGGGCGAGAATGGAAACTTGTCCCGTTGCCATAATCTCTTGTAATATAATAGAAGATCAGAATAAGCCAAAAAAAAAAAAAAAAACATTGATAATTAGTGGATGCTGATGACGCTGCTACCAACTTGTCATCTTGACTATAAACAGAAGTGAGGTTATCTCACGCCTTACTGGCAACCGCAGTGTGGGAGTTCGATTCCTGAGACATGGAATTTGACTCCTTGTAGGCGCAGTATACATACAGTTTTTGTTCTCTGACCTGTTGGAACACATCCCACAATTTACTTCCCTCACAAAACTCTAAGACAAGGCAGTGAGGGCCCTCAAAGTTGGGATTCAACCTTTTTTTATATAAACAGACAGTAATTAACTCAAATGGTACAAGTCAATTTGTTTTAATGTTATGAAAAATAAAATAAAAAAATCTTCAAAAAAAAAAACTTATACTACTCCCTCCATCCCATTTATATAGGTTTGTTTTGTTTTTCATACGAATTAAGAAATCTTATTTAATATTATTAAAAATGTAATTTTTACAAAAAAAAAAAAAATCCTAGATTACCCTTATTTATATTTGTATAATTTTAAGATTAAGTGGAAAAATTAGTTATAATTAGGCAAATTAAATGATGATACATTAGTAAATGAACAAAATAAAATATTCTCAATAAAGAAACATCATTATATAATTGGGACAAAAAAGAAAAAGAAAAGTTAGTCTATATAGATGGGACGGAAGGAGTATCTTTTATCCAACAAAAAACTAGGTTTTTTTTTTTTTTTTTTTTCACATATTCTATTGGGATTATAACTCTAGTTTATGTTGCACTAATGTAATATTAAAGAGTAACATTATTTGAAGTCGCTTCTACTGTAATCGTTCTACATGACATATATGTAGCGGTTAGTGATTTGATACTAGTATGACTATAATAGTGAACGATTGCAAATAGCATTATTCAACATTAAATGGTAGGTTAAAAGAATACCACCCGTTCTACTGTGCATGATTTCCTTGCCTTGTACGACTTGATTTTATTTTTAATGATTTTGTGACCAAAAATTAAAGAACAACCCAATGGAAAAGGATGATAATTCAATCAAATTTTGTTAGCCATTTCATTTAATAAAAATGATACTACGTTTTTCAATTTTGTCTTTTAGAATTTTTATTTAAGTATTGCTGCTTTAATTCAGTCCTAAAATGCTGATGGCTGGAAACCTCAGACCTTGGGAAAATATTAGCTGGCTCACAGGTTCCAGCTTTTTCTTTTCATTTATTCACGTTTCTCTTAATATCCATGATTCAATTTTAATTGGTTTCGAAAATTGTGTTGTCATTTATTTTTGTTGACATTGTCTTTTGACTTCCGTTAATACGTTTAAAAAATGAATTTAATTTTTGGTTTCTTGAATGAAAATTACAAAACTTGAATTTGTTTGAATTCTTGTCAGTCTAATATAGAAAATTTTCAAATTCAACGATTTTGTTCAACATTTTTTTTTCCAATAATGTTATGTACCTTTAGTCCACTTGGATGCCAGAAGGATCACATCGTGCTTTCACATGTCCAGGATGAATATTTATGTCTCGATCGCCAAGTCCTATAGGATCATAAAAACATTTTAGTCGTTGAGATGTACTCGAGCAAAGGAGTCAAGGACTAACACTTGACCAAAAATATAATTAGAAGCCTCAGCTACAATTAGAGGCTCTATAGAGCCTCAAACATGGACGATAATCTCAATGCGAATCGTGACAAATCAACTTCAAAAATATTGCACCAAGCCTCAGACATGGTTCGTTGAATGAAAATTACAAAATTCGAATTTGTTCTTTGTCAGTCCAATTTTGGTATTGTTTGACTCAAGTATCTTGTTCGAATTATTTTTCATAATTTACACATGAATCAACGAGCCTAGATAGTCAATACCCGACATTCTATGTGAATCAACGAATTTTGATCGTATTCTTTAGTTTATTTTATGCTTCAGCCTACATCGATTTGTTTATCTTGTTACCAACTTATTATCATTGATAAGAAGTTTAAACGACCCGGTCAAGATAGATAAATGCTAACAATATATTAGATGGTCAAAAAACCGAAGGCTCGTTTACAAAACCTAACCTACAGCGTGTAAATAATGTTTCAAAACAAAACAATCAAGAAAAATCAAGAAAACTAAAGAGCATCTCGCATATTCAGCCCGGAAAGAAGACGAAATTATTCGGATTTCTTGGTAGATATATTTCTTTTCATCCGGCTGAACGGTCCAACCGTCCGGTCCATTATGTACATGTAGATGACCTGACTCCAAGATTTATATGAATCTAAATTATCATAGAACTCCGGTGCAATCTCCCTCACCTTCTGAGCCAACCGTCCGGTCCATTATGTACTGTTGGAAAAAATGGTTTAATGGGTCAACTTTGAGCCCAAATTTCAGTGGGACCCACCTTTTAAATAATACGGGACCTAGCAAGCTTGGTGCCGGGGATCCTAGGGAAATCATGGTGCTCGTTGTGGTATCCTACGCTCCATGTCATAAGATTCAAGGGACCGTAATAAGAATATGTTTCTTGATCAGGTTTGAATACGTAATGTTCAGAGATGAAGTGACCGGCCATGGGGTGCATCCCTCCTCCAACAAAGGTGGACAGTATCAAATAGCCAAATGACTTCCATCCCCAAAAATGTACTATACCAGCATCAAGGGCGAGCTGGATACTTAGATTAACAAACTCCCATATGCCCGGTGGTTTTGGTTTGATAAAAATTGGTCGGAAAGCATAAAAGAAGAGTTGGAGAATAACCCATATCGATTTAGAAACGATATTCCTCACCAGATGGGCTTCAGTGAGAGTTGGGATATCCATATCAACTCGGTCCACCCCTTGAAAACGATGGTGCTCAAGATGATACTTTTGGAAAGTTACAGACATGGGTACACCGATGGGAAGATTAGCAAAAATCCCGAGCCAACGGTTGTAAACTGGCTTTGAGAAGGCTAGATTGTGGCTTAGCTCATGAATGGCTAAGAAGAGATTGTGGTTGAGGAAAGATCCAAAAAAATAAGCTACTATCAATATCTTCAGCCAACCTGCATTATGGAGATAGGTTGCTGTCCATAGCTGAAGAACAACAACCATAGCAATCTGAAATAAAAGAATGTAAAATGAAGTTATGAACAGCTAGAAATTCAAACACAATTTGACATCGTTAAGATATGTTTCTGAATTAACTTAGAGGTTAGTCTAACATTACAATGTAGATCAGAATATAATGATCTCCTAGTCCCATTATATCAAAGATTGTAAAACGAGTAACCATTTAAACAAAATAACGAAAAAGGTCATATGAAACTGAAAGTGATTTTTCTCTTTCATTCAAATAGAAAAATAGAATCCCTAATTTCATCTGTTGGACTGTCAATAATGAGTCTAGATGATCATTGGTACCACATTGTACAATGTCTAAAAATGCAATTGAATTTCATTGGATTCTTAGCTACTGTACTGAGGTTCGTTATCTGGATCATTACAAAGGTGAATCAGATTGTCATGGTTCCCCTGAATCCCACATTGGAAGTGTAAGCTTCCTTTATGTGGTTTATATTGCCTTGAGTTCTTCAACCTCACTGGCTAACTTTTGGGATCAGACTCTCCCAATTGAGCATAACACATCATGTCTTTTGGTCTTGGTTTCTAGGATGTGTGGGCCTTCTCGACATGGACACCGAGTCAGAAGTATGGTGGTTTTTCATGCTTCCCATTGGGCTGTATGGGCACCTAAATTCCACATCGGAAGTGTAGTTTTCTTTGTGTGGTTTATATTGGTTTGGGTTATCCAATTTCATTGGCTAGCTTTTGGAGTATGGCTCTCCCATACACACCAACGGGAACCATAACAAACCATGATGCCTGATACCATTGGTCAGGCTCAATTTGGAGAGCTAGACCACAAAAACTAGTCAATGAGGTTGGAGAATGCAAGCCAATAGAAACCACACAAAGGAAGCTCACACTTCCAATGATGTGGGATTCAGGTGCCCATAGGAACCATGACACAGATTAAAAAGGTAAAGATTAGAATTTCTATGGCACCTCAATAAGATGAATGCAAGCTTAATTGCTAATCTAACAGCAGAGTTGAATCACAAATGGAAAAGAGGAATAACGAAGCTTATTTACGATTTTAAAAGGTAAAGTAGCTTTTTTCTTTTATTTATCTAATTTTTAAAGCAGGGCAAGACGAACCATTTCACCATGTATGTTGTCCCAATAGCTATGAACACTAATTGCAGAATTGACTACGTCACTTTCGGTATAATATCAGATAATGCCATCAATAAATGGTAAACACAACATTTAATGAGACGAATGTGATTACTGATTTTGAAATTGAACGTAAATGCATAGTGCAAAAGAGAAAAATCCAACACATTATTAAAAAAAAAGTGAATCTTTCAAACGACATTACGAATTTTAGCACAGATCTGAAAAACCCACATTTGAAAATCCTCTATATATACCTTGAGGAAAGCAAAGGGGTCAGGGCCAAAGAGTTGTTTGATTTGAGGATACTGAGAGAGTATCTGCCTTCTACGAGAGGCATGAGGCTCATCTGTATATGACCAGAAAAAATCTGTAGCCATTACTCCCTCTTCTTCTTCTTCTTCTTCTTTTCTCTGTTTCCCTTCAAACCCCATGCTTCCTCTCCCTCTCTTCTTTCTGTGTATTTGTCTTGTGAGAATTTGAGATGTTAACGAATCTCCTCTTCGTAAATTTAAAACAAAATCATTTTTGTGGGTGTAAGATTTGTGATGGTGCGGGATTCATTCTAGTATCAAAAACGTACAATGGACTGAATTTTTTATGCGAATGGTGCCGGCCAGCTGGGAATGGGATCTTCCCAGATATTCCTTCTGCAATTTCACGTCATTCTGCGTGCTCTTTCTTTTCCCCCTAAAGCCTAAACTATTGAGTTTGAATGGAATTCTTTTTGGGGGGTTAGAAACGGATTTAAGCCCCTGTTTAATGGCATGTGGAAAAAAATAATGTTTTAAATAGTGATTTTGTTTTTAAGAATGTGAAGTTAAAAAATAATAAAAAAATAGATTTAAATGTAAAATATTTTATTGTATAAATATTTAATTAAGAATGAGTATAAAAATTAAAGAGTTTTGTTTTTAAAAAGATGCAAACTAGGCTAAGTAAAATTAAGCTCTTATTTTATTCTTGTTCTTCAAACATTCATTTTCTTCTTCTCATTTTTTTTTTTTTGTTTTTAATCATGCATTCTCTCAATAAAATAATTTTTCTATGTAAATTCAAAATTTTTCTTTACTTTTAATAACAAAATTTTCCTTACTTTTAATAACAAATTTTTCCGAATATCACTGTCATTTAAAAAAAA